CAAAAAACAGGCTATGATCCAGAAATACAGCTCACTCCATAGAAAAGAATCACTAGGTTCAGTCTCGCCGATGTAGACTCGCCGGAGCTCTTTGTGCTAGAGTTCTGCAGCTGCATTCTCTTCCCTCTCTCTCTGCACTCACAGAAGCAGATTGCCATGGCCAACATCTGGTTCACGAGTCCGCTTTACGTCAGAAGCACGCGTTACTTGTCCCATGGTGGTGCTCATCCGTTTCGCCGGAGCTGGAGCCGCAGCTCGCCGGTATGCCTCGGTGCCATGGCCGCACTGGCTCACGGACTATGTACTGACTTGTCAGTTCTTTTGTGCATTTAATGCCAACAAACAAGTACACACTGTGCATCTAAGATGGAGCGGTGTATTGAACAACATCTATTCCTTTCATCCAATTATGCACTGACCCCTATACAACAAAGCAGCGGTGAGATTTCAGTGAGTGTGGTCGCCGAGTGCTCTTAGTCCGCGTCCGTACTAGACATCCATAGTCTAGGTACTAGACTACTCACCCCTCCTGCGCTGGATTCCCCCCTCCAACAAGGTGTTGAAAAAGTAGTTTGCTCTCTATTTCCCATATTTCACAAATATCCTTCTTTGGTGTTGGCAAAAGTTCTAGAAATTTTATGGTGATCGTATTTATATAAACGAGGGTTGCCGCCAAAGAGTATACCGAGAAAACCTAGATGGGGTTCGCGTACCTTAGCTGTGAACCTGGGGGTAGGGTGTGTTGGTATGCCCCCTCCCACTGGGTGCCCCTTTTCGTGTGTTCGTGGTCTTTCTTGAGACTTCCCTCTAGATTGTCTTGGATTTATATATTTTAGGTGTTGTGAGTTTTCTCGAGTACTTTCCAAATATATAAAAAAAACTGAGAAAACCATGTGACAAATTTTCAAAGGATCCAGAAGCCACATAAAAGGACACCTAAAAGAGGCATCCTTGTGCTCGTGCAACTAGTTGGGCGTGCACAGCTAGTCCACGGGCCCCACCTTCTGGCCCCTTCCACCACCCTTTAGTCGAGGGTTTCATCTCCCGCAATAGAGTCTCCACCTATTTATTTCAAAAAAAATGACCCCTTGTAATATCCTGAATTTCGCATGCACAATTTCTTCTAAAGCAAAGAAGCTTAAAGTCCATTAGTACTTCTTATGTTTGAAACTGAATCAACATTCCCAGTTTAATTTAAATAAGCTAGAGGGGAGTTTAAGATCTCATATATTCTTATTTGGATTTTATCTTTGTAAATATACTTATTAGATTCAAAATGTTCTAAACAATTTTCATGTTTTTTTGGATTTATTATTTTTAGGATTCATTCAATTCCAAAAATCATTCTTCATCTCCTCTTTTCTCTTAATTTTGAGTAGTCTCATTTTTTGCTCTTTCCTATTGGCCCTTCTATATCTTCTATCTGCACGTAGACTATATGTCGCCTACTGCGCAGCATCACCAGCTTAGTAGCGCTCCTGAAACTTTTCTTTGCGGTTCAGTTCTTTTGACAATTGATGTAGTTTTCCCCCCTTTTTTGTTTTATCTTCTGTTTTTTTATCCATGTTTTTCTTGTTTTACCTTTTATTTTGTTTTCCTATGTTCTTTTCCTTTTTCCTCTTTTCTACCTTTTTTTTCCTTCTTTGGTTTTTATTTTTCGCTTCTTGCTTACTGATTTTAATAATGATTTTGGTATACATTATGACACTGCTTGATACACAATGCACATTTTTAAACACATGATGAATATTTTTTTATCTCATAGGTAAAATACATGATGAATGGTTCTTACGAGCTACATGACCACTTTTTATTGAACACCTGGACATTTTATTTTTTAAATTGGCAGACGTGAACATTTTCAAAAAATAGATAAATGCTTAGTTTCATACATAGGAATTTCTTATGAAAGTGCATGATTTTTATAGAAGTACATGAACATTTTTTTCATATGAATGAGCATATGTGTGTATAAATACTTGAATGTTAGCTTATGTATTTTGTTCCTTATGTAAGTGTTGTTCCTTAATGAATATCTATTTGCAATAAATATTGTGGTTTAAACAGATCATAATTTGGAAGATTCGTTCGGAACTGTGAGATTTGTAACGCTACTAGATGATTGTCTTTGTGTTGCAATGGAAGGATAAATATTATAATTGATTAGCCTATGATTTACCAGCCCATATTAGTGTGATTGTCTAAATATGTAAGGTTTTATTTTGTTTACCCTGATTTGGTGAGCATTTATTAGTTTAACAAAGAGAACAAAATTTCATTTGGTATCTCAATAAAAAGGTGAGGCAACTGATGTAGTTTTCGTGAAAAAAACCGATGAAAAACCCAGAGATAGGAGGAAAAACTTGAGGTGGAAGATGAGAGTGAGGAGAAATGTAAGTAGGTTGGATGAAGGACGAGCGGATGACACAATATTTTTTGAAGTAGGAGAGATATTATACACCAGTACAACTCTCCTAGATTGCCTGGCTATGAGGCGCTTGCTGCGGTGAGAAGGCTGCGTAGCTTAAGGTCTTTATTGGGCTAACCATATTATGATGTCACCAGTACAACTCTCCTAGATTGCTTGACTATGAATTGCTTGCCGCTGTAAGTAGACTGCATAGCTTAGGTCTGTATTGAGCTAGCCATATTACAACGGTTCACAACAGGCGACAATTAGACGCGCCCAAGAGCTCCTATGTGATGCTCTTCGCGTCAATTTGTCGTTTTTCGAACAACTACTAGCAGGCTTCATGGGCCTGTTTCTTCATTCCTATTTTTTGTTCGACGCTAGTCCTTGTTTCTTGTTTTCTATAGTTCCCATTTTGAGTTATGATTCGCTCTTTCTCCCAGTGCTTTAACGCACAAACTAAGAAAGAGTTTTGAAACAAATATATAAACTAATTAAATAACAATATTTCAAAAATATGTCTTACAACTCCGTACTAGATGGAATAGAAAAATAAAAAAACAACATGAATTTGCACTACTCAAAAGTATGTTTTTTCATCGATTCAACACATGGTCTATAAGTTCAATTAATTGAAAAAAATCTTGACATTAAAATATTGTTCGTATTTAAAATAAATCTTCAAAAAGTGTTCCTGAATTCAAAAAAAAGCTCGGAGATAAAAATGTTGTTCAAAGCATTAAAAAAATCATTGTACAAAACCTTGTTCATTATTTCAAAAAACATTATGGATTGAAAATTGTTCATAGATTTAAAAATTGTACTTGAAATTTGGAATTTTTTCATCATTTATAAAAAATATTGGAATTCATAATTTTTCCATAGATACAAACATTGTTCATTATTTTCGAAATTGTTCATCGAATTTGAATTTTTTTATAGATTTGAAAATTACCCTTAGATTCACGAAAGTATTCAAGCCTTTCCAAATTTGTTTTGGACATAGAAAATTTGTTTATAGTTACAAAAAATGTTCAAAAATTCAAAAATTGTTCAAAGCATTCAAAAAAGTCTATCCATTGAAAATCTTGTCCGTTACTTAAATAATTGTGCAAGGAATTAAATTTATTTGGTGGTTGAAAATTATTCATATATTCAAAAAACTTTTCTTAAAATTTGAAATTTTTTGATAGCTTGAGAAATTGTTCATAAATTCCATAAATGTTCTCTGAATTTGAAATTTCCTCTTTGATTCAAAATTGTTGGTCGATTCAAATACATATCATACATTCAAAAATTGTTCACCAAATTCAAAATTGGTTCATCAATTTCTAAAAGATCCATAGAGTTAAAATATTATTCAGTACATTAAAAAAAATTAATTTTGAAAAAAAATTATCCAATGTGAAAATATTTATCTTCATTCAAAAGTTGTGCTAGGATTCAAAATTGCTTCTGCAAATTTAAGAAAAAAAAGTCACATAGCAGAATTTGTTCAATGCATTCAAAAAGTATCCTTGGAATTCAAAATTGTTCACAGGTTTAAATTTTGTTTTTCAAAACGGTAAAATTCGTCTTAAGTTAAAAAATTCTTTGAATTCAAAACTTCTCTTGGAATTTGAGCTTTGTTCTTCAAATTCCAATATATTAGTGCTGATACAAATTGCTAGGCACGTACAAATCCATTTGGAAGAATAATTCTGAATATATACATTAGTCAATCGCTCTGCAGTTTAACATTATTTTATTGAGTAACTAACATATTCCTTCAATCACTAAAAGAAAAAAAGGAAAAGAAACTCAACATTCGATTTCATCTCAAATATTTACTGAGCGAACAATGTTGCCAAATGCAGAAAGAAAACGAGGACTTCATGAATATTTTGTTCAAAACCATTTCATTTTATGATGTAATATTTTAGTGCGACTCAAGGATAAGCACAAAAAACAACACCTCACAAACATTTGTTATGCAAAAAATCTTCACCATGTACTTGAAAAAATGTTGGCCTTGTATTAAAAAACGTGTTCAAAACAAAACATGTATTTAATAAAAAAAGAATGTGCAACCTACTTTTAAAAAGTATCAAAATGTATCAACAAAATATTTCACGTGTACACTACAAATGTACATCATATACTAAAAAAAATTAGCCATGTGTTGAACAAAGAAGTACCCAATGAAAGCCGACAAAGAAACAACGAAAAACGAAGAAAACCAATGAAAACCCAAAAGAACGAAAAAAAGAAAACCAATGGAAAAGAATGGAAACAGTGAAAACCAAGAAAGAAAGAACGAAAAACAAAGGCAACAGAAAAAAGAAATTCAAAAACCACAGAAAAACAAAAGGTAATGAAAACTGAGAAAAAACAATGAAAATAGAAAGAAAAAACTAGTAAAAGCCATATAAGAAATAAAGAAAACCGATAAAAAATAAAAAAATAGAAAACCGGTGAAGAAAACAAATATAACCTGAAGAAAAAGAAAAAACCGGACCAAACCTGTACGTCGACCACATGAAGACTACAACGAGCGATTAGCGATTGAACGTAAGCAGCGATAGAAAGAAAAACAATGAAACAGGGTGGCCTAGTTATGACGGGGAAGAAAAACCTTCAGACGAGACGGAAGCCACACTCGATATAAGTGAGATATAGTCTTCACAATGATGACAACAGGGCAAAACTCCATATGGGTATGCACAGGCATCTGGTCCAACAAAAAAAGAGTAACCATTAGCTAAGAAAAACAGCCTGTGCAACTTAGCCCATGTAAAATACACTCCCGGTGCCAGCTTAAAAAAAAAACTCCCGATGACCACACACATGTGGTAAGCAATTCAATCCAAGCTACTCCCTCCATTTTTATATATAAGGCCACAAACTCAAACTACAGGTACCAAGATAAATATTAATGCGAGCTTTACATGCCAATTTGTTTTCTTGATTACTAGGTTAATTAATAGGGTGCATGCGTATTAGTGGAAACTGAGTGGCCAGGAGGGAGGAAGTAGTTGAGGGTGTCATTATCATCAACTACATGCATGCTAATTAAATCATGGGTTACTAGTACAAGAAAACATCATTAATATTTGCCTCGATTATTGTTGGTGGCCTTGTATAGATGCAAAATGTGTTTTTTATAGTTGCCTTGTATAAAAAAATGGAGGGAGTATTAAAAAAACACTCCCAATGACCAAAACTACATAGCAATTAAAGAAGTCTATCGGCTGCCTGGTGAAACCCGTCGATCATTTTCATGAATGACACGTTGGCCTGGGCGTATGGCTCTACCGTACTAGATCTGCATGGTCTGTTAGTGTCAAAATTACACTTCATTCAGTAAAAGATCATTTGCCTGCAGGATTGCAGCAGCCTATGTGCCTGGAAACACATGTCAGAAAGAGGGCGAAAGCACACAAAGCCTGAACCACTGTGGTTCGTAACTCCTTTTTGTTACAGCAAGATGTCTGAAGAAACAATTTGACAACAGAAAGAAGGAGAAGAGGTATTCACAGAGTCATACACGATCTAGATACAACTACTGGGAGCTCCGGTTCGCTCATCCTCGCAGAAATATGAGAATCGGCCTGCAGAAGGTGAAGAAGTCTGTCCCCACCTTGGCGCACCTCCAGCGCAGGAATCGCCATCGACCCGGCCGGAGAGCGCGCGCACCTGAAGGCGGCCGGGCCGAACTTTCACACCATGATGGCCATGGTGTGCAGGCTCGACATGCGGCCGTACATCTCGGCGGACATCTGCGGCATCCCGGGGGACAGCGGCCTCGGGCGCCGTAAGCATTCCTCCAGCTCCTGCAGCTTGGCCACCAGGAGGACCAGCCGCCGGGCCGGCACGAAGATGAGCGTCATTGGGATGATGCAAGCCCCGAGCTCCAGTATCAGCATGGCTGCTTATTCCACAGAGCAAGCAGCTGGGTTGCTCAGGCCGTCTAGGTAGCTTTCTCGGTTCCTTGGATAAATGTCGCTTTGCCTTGTAGAGTTGCAGTTGGGGAGTTGCTTGCATATATAGCCTTCTTTTTGGAAGAAAAAAGAAACGCTCACTTATCTGGACCCTGGTTGATTATTGGCAATCAATGGCGCTTAGTTTACATCCTCTCTAATGATTGCCGTCAGTGCGTTATGAACTGATTGCTGCGACTTTCGAGTCCATGACACACGACGGGGCAGCTACAGAAATGTTTATTTTTTCACGACGACGAAGAAGAACGTGAGGGGACCTATCAATGGCGGAGCTTCACACATCCTAAAAAAAATGGCGGAGCTTCACACGAATCACAGAAACAGGTCAGTCTCAGGAGGATTAATTAATTAGATGAAACCCGGCAGTTGTTGCCGGAATATTTTGCAATATATTCTAATGAGATTTGGTTGCATGGGAACATGGAGATTTGGAATAATACGACAATTAAAATTGAAAATACAAATGATATTGTGTAATAAGATTTGGTTGTATAGATATTTACTAGCAAATATGCCCGTGCATTGCAGTCGAAGAAAAAAAATACCCGCCTGCATCATCCTATATGGAAAATTCCTAAGAATTCTTAGCATTGAGTAATACCTCGTGAAGAAATCCTAAAGATTGCAATAGAGAGGGCTTATAAATCCTTTACATTTCTTATTTCTTTGATTCGGAAGTTTGGTAAACCGAGTGAGCCTTAAAATTATAGGAGCTATGGCTCGAAGTCTAATTAACAATGTTTAATAATTCCAATGGTCAAGCAAGTCAATGAAGAGGAAATTATATGGACGGTCAAGTTAAATATCTAAATACTCCTACAACCTTAAAATTGGCATTAGTGTTTGGGGTGCACTCAAATACTAACACCAAAGGAATGAAGTGGATATTATTTGTGGGAATCACATGAGCTTCACTCCGAATGTTCTTCACATCTCTCTTTCGTTCTCTCATGATAGTTGATCCTCTACGGGTCGTCCTCAATGTTGGTTCAGCCGATTTTGACCGGGTCAGCAATTTCTCAAAGTTCTCTCATTCAATTCTTTTATAGTATACACTATCTTCTTAATTTTTAAAGTCTCACAATTAATTGATGTCTTCAATTTAGAATTGGTTCAGCTCGATATGGACGGTGTCAACAATACTAAGCTCCCTAATTTTTAAGGTCTCACAATCAACTGAGGTCTCCAACTGGAATTGCGTCACCCGATTTTGACCAGGTCAACAATTTGTCAAAATTCTCCCATTCAATTCTTCTATACTATACACTAGACTTCCTAATTTTTAAGGCCTCACAATTAATCGATGTCTTCAATTTCGAATTGGGTCACTCGATTTTGACCAGGTCAACAATTTTGGAGGAGCTCTCACATTCAATTTTTTTAGTTCACTATGTTCCATAATTTTGAAACTCTTTCATTTGATTGAGGTATTTAATTTTAGATTTGGTTTACGATTTTGATCGGGCCAATGATTTTTCAAATCAATCAGTAGCAGCCGACCTATAGAAACATATCAATCTCGTGCACCCTCCCACCTAGAAAAAAGAAATGCCTCCATTTGATACTGTAGCATCAATATAGTACATGCAGCTACTGACACAAACATTTGCCACATAAATATGAGTTCATTAGCAGATAACACAGAATCACCGAGAAAGGCCCACCAAATCACCGTTTGTAAAAAAACACTCCATCATCTCCCTGCCTCGCCAAACTAAATATTCCATCAATTCGGAAATATAAGGGGTATTAGTTTTTTTTTTGAAAGTTCAATTCCTTTAACTTTGGCCAAGTTTATAGCCAAAAATATCGACATCCATAATATTAAACAAAAAAATATGGAAATTCATTTCGTGATGAATCTAATTATACTGATTTGATATCATGGACTTTGATATATTTATCTACAATTTGATCAATCTTAAAAATGTTTGACTTTTCAAAAAAGTGATACACATTGTATTTTGAAACACAATGAGTACATTTTTTTAAAAGAAACCCAACGACATCAACGGCGCAGCAAAGCGCGTCCAACCCTTCTAGTCCACGTTGAATGCTGAGGTGACATTCTTGCATGTTGAGAAAAATAGATTCGTGAGGGCTAGCTGTTTAGATAGGGAAGATCTCCTATAGTTCGGAGGAGGCTATTTTAAACCGAGTGTTTATTTCGCAGTCGAGCGTATTCTTAATTTCGTAGTACAAAAAAAGGTGGTTACACAATTTGGAACTTGTATACAAAGCTCGATCGACTTGGGAATAACTATTTTCCAAGTGAATTAAAATGATCCGGCTTACAAGAAAGGGGGATAAAGGACTAGTCCCCCATTTATTTTGATCGGCCTGTGATGTGACATTTTTCATACTTTGTGTTCATCTGCCTTGTTTGATCCATGTGTCCCATAACTTGGATGGGGACCTCTCTCCGGATAAGCTATCAACAACAGTACTACCATTATTCATGTTGTTCCTAAAACAAAGAATGGAAGCGATCGGCAGCGCCCTGATGGCCCTTGGGAAGTTCGAGAAAGTATCCTGTGCAACGACAGAATCTGTGCACCTGATGCACCAAGGACTCATGAGCCGTCGGATGAAGAACAAAGGGACAAGATTCACTGCTGTGGTGGGCTGCTTGCACATTTGCAAAATGCATCTTGTACTTTTGTAGCCCGCTCCTTGTTTTTGCATAATGGAGCAGAGCAGGACAAAATCTGTTCCTTTGCAAACTAATTTCGCTACATCTCTCATTCTTTTTTTTGCGGGACGCTACATCTCTCATTAATTTAATTGTTCGCGAGAGCTGTTACCGAGAGACGAGGAGTTCATCTCACATAGCTATATGCAGTCACGCCATGTCCTCTGTTAATTGCATCCGTGCTATGTATGTGCAAGGAAATGTTCCAACGCCATTCCGGATGCCTCATAGCTGATGCTTTGTACATTACTTACAAAAAATAAAATAAAATAGAAATAGTAGCAACGGACTGGGCAGAAACAAACCATGAATAATCCAGTTCATGACTTGAAAATCGCATCACCGATTGATTGGACATATGTATAACTTGACGTACATATTTGGCATCACAAATTCAGTTCTTATATATAGTGTTACTATTTATCACTCAGGGTGCAGAATAAGTTATTCTTCACCCGAGGTAATGTTACGATCATTTCATAATTAAATTACGTTTGGAATTCAAATAGTTACATTTTTATTGATTCACTACGTAAAATTTGACATAAGAAAAATAAAAATATAGGTCACAAGACAAGAAAATTTGCAGCTTATGTGACTATGTTTTTACGTTTGTAATTTTACGTAACATAAAATATTTTTTACGGTGATTATATATTCTCTTACGGTCTCTTTTTACGTCGGAAATAAAATAAAACTTACGGAATGTAAAATTATGGTGCATTGATGGTAAAGTAGAGGGGGGTGAAGAATAACTATTTCTCACCCAGGGTGACGAATAGCGTGACCCTC